TTAGAGCATCGTCAAAATATTTTGTTAGAAACTCAAAAATAATAAGCATTGCTGTAAAAAGTTTGGATATTCTAGAAATCAGTTTAACTTTCTAACAAAATTATTTTGATGGTGCTCTAATAAAAATTATTTTCAGATTTTTTTTATCTTCCAGCAAAATCGTTCTTTCCGTGTATGTACTACAAGTGTGAATAGTTCAAATTCGAATCGAATCACAGTGAATTTGATTCGAATTTGTTTTTAAATCTGTAAGATTCAAAATCGAACAATTCGAGAATTTCGAATCAACTATGATTCGATTTTGAATTAATTGCCTATTTTATTTGCTTCATTTTTATCTTCCGCGCTACCAATTATTCTTATCTAATAAATACATATTTTTGATGAATGTATTGTATTCATATAAATTAATAAAATATTCGAAAGCATTCTAACTATTCGTGAATACACTTATTATTAATTACATGTTTTCTAGTTCGAAATGATACATACACGGAAAGAACGATTTTATTGAAAGGTCGAAAAATTGTGCTAAATACAGATCTGAAAATAATTTTTTGTTGAATCATCAAAATAATTTGTTGGAATGTTAAAGCTGATAAGAATCGCTATAAAACATTTTGATATTTTAGTAATCACTTTGACTTTCGCACAAAATTATTTTGATTATTGAACAAAAATTATTTTCAGATCTGAATTCAGCAAAATTGTTCTTTCTGTGTAAGATCATGATCTTTGTAATGAGATGTAAATCGAAAATAGGTCTCCAGTTTGTTCAAATTATTACGTAAAATAATATATAATAAATCATAAATTTTTATATTTATTACGTTTAAATTAACATGTAAGGGAAGGAGGAGGAAAATAGTGACAGAGGGCAAATGTCACTTTAAATTTCTCTTCTTTCTCGCGTGTATTTTATCACTACTCGTTAATGTAGAAAGACATTTCTCAAGCATCTAATCATCTTCTGGAAAAACCGAAAAAAGTCAAAAAGCCAAATATAGCTAGAGAAGTTTAAAATTTTGCATTTGTGAAATAAGATAAAACCTGGATCTTTTTTGATATTTGAAGTTATATATTCTTAATTGCTGAATGAGATCTAACCTATTCTATGTTATACGGTACCTTTTTCTTCTAATTTTATATAATTCTTATGCTTGTATATTAATTTTATTTCTCTCAGTAAAGTTTTAAAAGAAAAAGTAGCTCCTGGGACAAGTAATGACAAGTCAAAAAGCTTTTTTAATATTTGAATATAATTTTTCTAATTTATTTGGGATAATATGAGATTAGTTACAAGGCAAGATCCATAATAAATGTGATTTTCAATAAGAAATACTAGCAAATAATGTGTTGTAAGTCCCCCTGTGCGCTACTTACATGTAACACTTAGAGCCCTCCTAAAAAAGTACTAGTGCAGTGATAATACTACTGAAATGTAGTAGTGGCTGCTATTAGCAGTGATACTACTACATTTCAGTAGTGTTTTTACTGCACTAGTTCTTTTTTACTAGGGAGATAAGCAGGCCGCTATTGTAATCTAATCTTGCAACAGCAACCTAGAATAATTGAGGACTGCAGGACTTCGGCAGTCCCAATGCGTGCGTTTTCCCAAAAATATGCGTTGCAATTAGGCAATAATTGCAACTGCTGAGCAGTACAGACCCACTTGAGACGGGATAAAATCCGTCGTCCAGCGGATCACTGCGGAGTTCATAATTACATTGTTACTTAGAATGTTACGCTGTCGGTGCGCGTATTACGCGGGTGCATAAGTTGTGTGATTAGATCTTAAATAAAGTTGTTCAGTGAAACAGTTTGACTGTGTGAATTATTCCAACAACCTATCACCACGATTCTCCTCCGTTACACCCTACCAAGGTGTAATATTGGTGTTAGAAGTGGGATCTCTGAAGCAGTTAGTAGAAGATCAGGGATCTGCAGGAAGCGATCCCAGGGAAGAGATTCACCGAGCCGACAGTAGAAAGAGAAAATTCTGTAAGTGTACACAGAAAAATCTCAACCTTGTCTATTCGGTACGACCGTAGACAAGTACCAGTCAGCGCAACATATATACTGACGCTGACTCGCCGTAACACGCCAAGCAGAAGCACACTAAAAGCCGCCATTGCAAAATGGTGCAAATAAATGGAAATAAGATGCGCAATCAAGAAATTGCACGAACTCCCGCGTCGCATAAACTCATCTCGGAGGAGGAATCCAGAACGTCAAATCCACGAGTGGTCAATCAACGCCGCAGCAGCTGTAAAGGTGCCACAGACCTAATTACCGACAACACCGACGCCGCATCGCAGAGCTGAAGGCCGCCGCCGCTGCCGTAATCTGAGCCGAGCGCCGATAAGGACCAGCCGAGCCAGCGAAGCAAGCCATCATGCGAGCGAGCGCCGTAATATAAGTTCGAAAAGTCTTATTAACGAATGTCAAGCGATCGACAACTCCAATGTTGCACGTCACCAGAGCGTACGTGGCCGTTTCGGAACCGTGTAAAATTTATCAGTACCGTACCCGAATTAAACAGTGCCGCGAAAGCGTTACCGGACATTCGAAATAGCGTGCGTAGGATATTAAATTTTCCTATCGAGAGCGAAACAGACTCATCATCCACACACGTAACTCGCGAACGCGAATTTCCAATCGTCGCGAACGACTTTAGCTTACTCGGTATAAACGTCGAAGGCGACTTTGACACCGAGTCGGACGAACAGACGAGACAGAGGCGTAGACTTCGGTTTTCATATACTATACAAGAGAATAACGTATCTGGACCAGCAACAATGCCGCATATTTCTTAAGCACCGCGGGATTTGGACAATCCTGGGGCAGAAGGCGGATTACGTTTAATTGAATTAACTGAGAGACCCGAAAACGCTCGAGCAAATCGCCGCGTCACCTTCAGTGACGACATAGACAATTCGCTCAACTGTGACGACGTTGTAAATTTGCGCGAGCCAACAAATAGACAAGACAATGCACGGGCAACTCGCACGAATCAACCCTGCCAATGACACAAACAATTTGGTAGAATTGATGAAAGAAATGCGTGAAATGCGAATTCAGATGAAATCATGATGAACCACCGCGACCGACGTCGTGAAACACACGACAGTAGTTTTGCGTTAAATATATCAAAACCTCACGACGACATCCGTAACCAATCGGAATGAAATCACAGTAGTTTCGCGTTAAATATGTCAAGATCTCAAGAAGATATTCGTAACCAACCGGGACGGAATCACAGTTTTATAAGCATGAACGAGGCGCGAAAGTTAATTCCGGAGATCGACGGTAGCTCGCGAGATTGCATACACAAATTTTTAGAAACCGCTTCATACGTGATGAAAAATATTCATCCGGTGGACGAGAATTCGTTTTTAGAAGCAATAATCTGTACTAAATTAAAAGGGAAAGTCCGTAAAGACTTCCGCATCATTCGCGATTACGCACAATTCAAACGTGACATGGAAGCAAAATATCTGTGTCAACGAAGCGTCACTAACTTACAACGAGAATTTAATTTGTTTACGCAAAAGCCGGGAGAAAGCGCGGATGATTTTGGGCATAGGGTGGAAGATCTCGCCAGGGATCTTTATGAGAGCATGGAAGAAGGTCGGAACCACACTCTCGAGCAGCAACAAGCAATTTATCAGCATACGCAGATACAGGCATTAGAACGAAAACTTCCAACTCAATTTGAGGGAAGATATTCAAATGCTAGTGCGCTCGCAGCGTTTCCGTACTTTAGAGGAAGCTATAGACGGGGCTAACGCGGAAGAAAAAGCCAGGGCCGATGCACGAAGTCTTGCTAAGGCCTATGCCAATAAAAAATTCGAGTTTCGTAATGCTAAGCTGCAATGTAATAAATGCAGAAAACCAGGGCATTTCGGTCGAATGTCGGTCTAGCCATTTTAGTCAGCGTTTTTTACTGCCGAAACCGGATAAGAAACCAGCCGGAGTGAATAGCAAAGAGAAGTATTGCACGCATTGCAAGAAACTGGGCATTTACGGCAGGAATGTTGGTCGCTAAACAGAAAACCAAAAAGAGAACAAACGCACCCCCCGATACGTGATAACAATGGAAAAAAGAAGCAAGTAGGATATTGCCATTAAAACAGTAGAGCAAAGTCCGAGTGGAGACGAAGAGTCTTTATTCACCGAAAGCGAGAATGAAGAGAACGCGAAGAATAATATGCACGCGTCGGACGAGCGCATCAAGTTACACAAGTGCTGACGAAACCATGTATTAGCACTGGCCTAGAACTTATCACATTGCCAATTTGAGAAACGAGAAAAGGAAAACTCAATTTCTTATTAAATTCAAACGCAACAGTAACATTGGTGAAATTTGGAAATCTGAAAAATAGTACTAAAATAAAGGAGGAAAAAATGGCTCTCACCGGAGTAACAGGCCACAAAAAACATACGATTGAAAAATTTAGAGCAATAGTGCAAATCGGAGATCAAGAAATTTGGCACACTATGTATGTTGTTTCAGATGATTTTCTTATAGATTACAAGGGAATATTGGGAATCGATTTCTTACAACGACAACGAGCTAAGTGTGACCATGGACGGAAGATGGTACGAATAGGTAATAAAGTGTTCAAGTTACATCCCTACACGGAAACAATGATTTTATTGAAAAATCTAAAAATTTTGTTAAAAACAGATTAGAAAATAATTTTTTGTTGAATTATCAAAATATTTGTTGGAATTTTAAAGCTGATAAGCATTGCTATAAAACGTTTTGATATTCTAGCAATTACTTTGACTTTTGCACAAAATTATTTTGATTATTGAACAAAAATTATTTTTAGATCTGAATTCAGTAAAATTGTTCTTTCCGTGTATCGACCAATAACATTGACTTCGCGCAGCGAAACAATAATAAGAGCTGCTACCGATCAAGGAACCAAATTGGCATAATTAAGTCAGAGGAAGTAGGACCCGAAGTATTTATTGGAAACTGCATGGTCATTCCCGAAGACTATACATGTCCTATAAGTATAAAAACACGACAGAAAAAGCCGTGAAAATTAATATGCCGATTCTCACCATTGGAGACGTTGCTGGCGGGTCGAGTGAGAAACGTACTCATGTTACACGAAACAGATAACGCGACGCCGAGGCCGCGCGCGGAACGCCTACATACGTATAAGCAATTGCGCGTGGAACATTTCAACGAAGAGGAAAAGAAAGCATTAATATCAATATGCGATGATTATAGTGACGTATTCCATCTAAATAATGATACGTTAAGCTGTACTACCACGGTACACCACGAGATAGCTACACGCGTAGACAGCGCGCGTCAATATCCGACCTTACCGCTTACCGGAAAAGCATATCGGGCGGAAGTGAACCGGTAAGTAGAAAAGATGTAGGAATAGCGGAAGGAATTATACGCCCTAGTACCAATTCGTGGAACGCACCGATCTTAGTGGTTCCTAAAAAAAACTGACGCATCTGGAATACCGAAACACGTAGTGGATTTCCGAAAGTTAAATGATCTGACCAGGAGATTCATTCCCGCTACCTAACGCCACTGATATACTTGATTAGCTGGGAAGCGCGAAGTATTTTTCGACGCTCAAACTCGCTTCAAGTTACCAGATAGCGATGAGCGATAAATGCAAGACAGCATTTTCAACGCCGTATGAACATTACGAGTTCAACCGAATGCTGTTTGGGTTAAAGCTGAACGCACCGGCTACGTTTCAATGGTTAATGAACTCAGTGCTCGCAGGAATTCAGAGTATCAGATGTCTTGTTTATTTGGACGATATTGTTATATACGGTCCCAGTTTACAGGAGCATAACCGTTGACTAGTAGAAGTATTAAGTAAATTGACTGCGTAAAAATAATCTAAAATTGCAGCCTATTAAATGCAAATTTTTACGTAAGGAGGTTACATATTTGGGGCATATAATTATGGAGGGAGGAATAAAGACCGACCCCGAGAAGCTTAGAGCCGTGAAAGAATTTCTAGTACCTAAAAAAGTTAAGGATATATTGTCTTTCTTAGGTTTAGCCGAATATTACCACAAAATAGAAAACTTCGATTTTGAATTACCCGGATTTTTCGCAGCAGTTCACGTTCACTATCGACGCATCAGATTACGCCATCGGAGCCGTGCTGTCACAAAAAACCTTAGGGCAAGACCGACCGATTGCTTACGCTAGCAGAATTTTAAATAAGACCGAACAAAATTACAATACGACTGAAAAGGGGTTGCTAGCAATAGTATGGGCCATAAAATATTTTCGTCCATATCTATAGAGTACTAAATTTAAACAGATTACAAACCGCTGATTTGGTTATTTAGCGTAAATGATCCTGGATCGCGACTGATAAGATAGAGATTCAAATTAGAAGAATACGATTATAAAATAAAATTCATCGCGCAGGTAAAGGTAACACAAATGCCGATGGTTCAGCCGAAATCTGATACCGGTCAACGACGCTATAATTAGTCATATAGGTGGTATGAACGGAGAGCGCGAGTATAGCAAAGATGATAAGAAGTAGATTCTACACAAGTATCACGACGCTCCACTGGGGGGACATCAGGGGGTGACACGACTAATCTATCACCAGGGATGTAGAGGATTACATTGCAAAATGTGAATTCTGCCAAAAGAATAAACTTAGCAGAAGAAATAAAATACAAATAACTGCTCACCTTTCAACAACTTGATTAAATTTAACAAAGCCATTCCGATTCCGAATCAGGAGGTAGCCAAGGAATTTGCTACTAAAATAATTTGTGAGTATGACATGCTAAAAACTAATTAATCGATCAAGGAACAAATTTTCTAAGCGAAATATTCAAATACGTTTGTAAGCTATTAAAAGTAAACAAGATCCAGACTGCGGCTTATCATTCAAAGGGTAATGGTGCGTTAGAGCTAGATCGCACAGAACTTTCGCGGAGTATCTCTGTCGTTACATAAATGAGGATCAAACAAATTGGGACGAATGGATCCCGTACGCGATGTTTACGTATAACACGACACCGTATACAGCTATCTCGTATACTCCGTTTGAATTAGTATACGGGTATCAAGCGACGCTACCTCCGAAGCCATGGTACTCGTATGACGACTACACACACGAGCTTAGGGAACGACTACGGGCAACGCATCAAGTTGCGAAACAATACGTGAAGGAGGCGAAAACAAAAGCGAAGGACTATGCCGATCAGACAATTAAATCCGTACGTTTAAAGTAGGAATCTTAGTACTACTACACGACGTTACGACGGGGACGTTCAAAAAAATTAGAGGCACCCTGGGTGGGCCCGTATCGCGTCGTATAAGAAAAAGTCTCCGGTGTAAACTATGAAATTCAAATTAAGCGAAATATCGTATCTGTATACACGCGATTAAAATTATTTATAGAGAACTAAATACAATAAAAACAATTAAAGACGTACGAATATTATAATGTAAAATATTGTTTCGACTTAAAGCAAGCGTAAGTAAAAAATATGCGAGGATAGGTCGATAATTTAAAAGAAGATAATATATGTGGGACAATATACGCGATTGCCTGAGCGTAGATTTCCACTTTTCCAAACAGTCCTTTAATTTTACAACCGTTGTATGTAAGAGGATCCGAGCAAGTTAGTTTTTTAAGAGCTAAAATGTGAGAGAGTTCTCGAGAGATGTCGAGCGAGTATCATTTCCGAACCCTGCGAGTTGTATCTTTATAGTATTAAAATTTTTTTTCTCTCAATCCGTATTATAAGACGTCGATACCCATCCTATGTAATATCCATTTAACATCCTACATATATATGTTATAATTAATATAATTAGAAGCCGCAATAACGATACATACATACAAAAAAAATTTTAATAAAATATAAATTATAAAAAATATTAAAAATATTTATATATATAAATTATAAAATATTATATATATATATATATATATATATACATGTCTTAGGAAATAATATTGTAATACAGAAATAAAATTAAAATACAACAATTTTATATATAGGTATACACAGATATTTATTTATAGAAATAATGTATAGATTTTTATGACCCTTCCCGGATGCTGCAGCAAGAGAGATATCCTCCCGAGCGATCTGTAAAATAAAAAAAAGAGGAAAAGAAAAACATTAGACATGTTTCTATAATAAAATAGTTACAATAAAATAAAAGGGTAAGGAAGCATTACAAAGCGAAGATAAAGATACTTACGTTATTGGTCTAAGCCCTCGGTGTCGTACTCCAGCAACAGTCTATTGTAGGCCATATCGGTCTCGGAGGGAGTTTCCGGCGAGTCCTCGGACTCGGCCTCCTCCATGTAGGTCCCCGCCTGGACTGACTCCCAAAAACGCCGGTCTTTCTCATCGTCCGGTTCATCCGCGCACTCAAAGCTATCGCAGTCTGCAAATAGCTCCTCCAGCAGGCCAGCCGGCAGGGTCACGGGGCGGGCGTACGCATCGTCCGGTCCGTACCAATAGTCGGGGGTTTCGGGCCTGGGCGGATTATCAAGTTTGGTCAGAAATCCCAAGGGGCCTACTTCGGGCTCGATTCGCTGGATGCCCCATGCCTCACCCTCGGATTCGTCTGAGGACTCAGCCTCAACCGGCATCATGTGAGCCCCGCGAAAGAAATCCCTTACGATCGGTTCCGCCAACTCGCCAATCGGCCTCTCATCCGCGAAAAGAGCCGCGACATCCACCAGATTAGGACGCATTTTTTTCCTCTTTCTTTCTTCTTGCAACTGATCACTAGCGTGGTTGGAAGGAGACTAAGGCGAATGAAACACTAGCCGATCTCCTAGTCAAAGTGCAAGGCCAAGCCGTATTGTACGGCTGTCGAATTGACATGGCCGAACATTCTATCGTAATCAGTACACACGGAGAATTTTATTTTAAAATTTATCCTGAAAATCATGTTAATCATAGGATAACACAGTATTTCGACGAATTTTATATGATTTTCACTATTTTTTTAAATATATTGTTACGTCCAAACCTCGGAATATAATTTGATTTCTTAAGAAAGAGAATGAGTTCCGTGTGAGAATGAGATGGGATTCGAGGTGAAAGAGATATTAGTCCGGGAGGCAGTGAACATTTTTTTACGTCATTTGATCAAAGCTGAAATTTTGTATACCAGTTGACAACTTTATGAAATGTAAAATGGACCCTGTCTGCCGATCAAGTGTGGGTGCGTTGAGTCAAAGTCGTCAAAAAAACCAATGCGCTGACATAATATTAAAGCTGAACTTTGATACACTGATAGTTTACTTTATGAACAATAACAAAAAAATTGTCTGCCAGCCTTCTAACGGTGCTAACGCCTTGGTAGACAAACGTGAAGGCAATCAACATAGCATTATACTCTGTTCCAACGCGAAATTCGAATTAAATAACATATTAGATAATTTAATTTTTATCTTTGTCAAAACTTGTATCTTGAAGGATCTCATCATTTAAATCATATTTTTGGTAATCGTCAAAATCATCGCGTCATCTTCATCATTACTATCATAATATTTGCTATTACATTGCATTTTTTCGTTTGTCAGCTTCTATAAAAAAACCTATATACAACAATTATTTACTATATAAATATATGCTAGATTAATAGTGTACAAAAAAAATATAAATATTGTTTACCTAGAACTGTAATGTTCGTCATTAGGTTAATAATAATATAAAAATTAAAGCACAATTTTCAGCTTTAAACGTGTTTGTAAATATTTCAAATCTAGCCATATTGATGTCATTAATTTTTTTTATGTTGTACATTTAGCAGACAAATTCTTCTAATACTTCAAATATTTCTGCAAAATTTGATATATTTATATCTCCAAGATCTTTAAAAGCTTTTTAAAATTTTTCGTCGCTATGTAATAAAGTGAGTGGTTTTTCCTTTTTTAAAAAATGCCGGATTGTAGTTACAGCTTGTGAATACGTGAAATCCTTTATTACGTTGTAGCAAAAAAAATTTCAAAAAGCTTTCAAAGATCTTGGAGATATAAATATATCGAATTTTGCAGAAATATTTGAAGTATTAGAAGAATTTGTCTGCCGAATGTACAACATAAAAAAAATTAATCACGTCAATATGGCTAGATTTGAAATATTTACAAACATGTTTAAAGCTGAAAACGTAAACAAATATTTCGTAAAAAATGCAAAATTTACAATGCCTCGTCTTTACCACCTTAAAAGTCAGAGTTATATCAACAATTATTAAGAGTTACGTCACTAGTATTTGGGGAACGCTAATTTAAAATGTCCGACCGATTTACAGCTAATTGAACATGGCTGGCAGGAAATAGATAATAAATATGAATGTTTTTGATTCAATAGCGAGCAATTACCAACATTTTGCAGCAAGACGTTGTGATCCAGCCTGATGACGAACACGATCTAGGTAATCAATATTTTTATTCTTAACATTATTAATCTAAAATATCTTTATGTAGTAAATAATTGTTATATATCTTTTTTTGTAGTAGCCGACACAAACGAAGAAATGCAACATATATGATGGCGATTATTATAATGGTGATGATGATGGAGATGATGATTTTGACGATTACCAAAAATATGATTTAGATGATGAGGACATTCAAGATGCTAGTTTTCACAATGATAAAGAATAAATTATTTAAAACTTTTTACACACGTTTTACATTTACACAATTATGCTTTAATTTTTTTATTATATTAATCTGATGACAATCACACTATAGGCAAACAATATTTATATTTTTTTTGTACACTATTAATCTAGCACATATTTATATAGTAAATAATTGTTATATATGTTTTTTATAGAAGCTGACACAAACGAAAAAATGCAACGTAATAGCAAATATTATAATAGTGATAATGATGAAGATGACGCGATGATTTTGACGATTACCAAAAATATGATTTAAATGATGAGATCTTTCAAGAAGCAAGTTTTGACAAAGATAAAGATGAAATTATCTAATATGTTATTTAATTCGAATTTCGCGTTGAAGCGGATATAGTGCTATGTTGATTTATTGCCTTTACGTTTGTCTGCCAAGGCGTTAGCACCGTTAAAGGACTAGCAGACAATTTTTTTGTTCATAAAGTAAACTATCAGTGTACCAAATTTCAGCTTTGACATAATATGTCAATGCATTGGTTTTTTCGACAACTTTGACCTGACACCCGCGCTCAACGCACCCGCACTTGATCGGCAGACAGGATTCATTTTTCATAAAGTTGTCACTGGGATGCAAAATTTCAGCTTTGATCAAATAATGTAAAAAAAATGTTCACTGCCTCCCAGACTACATAAAGAAGAACACAAGAATATAAGGAAGAACACAACTAGATAAGTCGTCTCGCAGGTACGCACACAGGTGCGCGATGCGAGTCGAAGGCGCTTTTGCAAGGGTTCGAAAAACGAGTCAACGCTCTGAGAAGCTATCGTATTACTTCATTTTTATGAACCAGTGCGATCGTCGGTCCTGTTTTGGGTCAAGGAACTTAATCCCTATGACCTGGGATCGGACCAAGCGCGTTTCTTACGTAGGCAGGCGATGAACGAGGGTGAGATCCTTTTAAAGAAATAGAGTGTTTAACTTAAAATTATAATATATTCTTAAAAATAAAAAGTACAAATTTGATTGAGTGTCAGATAGAAATAAAATATTAGTTTCATAACCGGATTTAAAATAAAACTGATTTAATTAAATAAAACGCTCAAAAAATATCACAATTAAGAGTTAATTATGGTAACGGTCAAATGTGTGTATGTGATTGTACATAAATGTTGGTTGAATTTTATATAATTAAAAGAAAATGTCATTGCGAATGAACATACCATTTAGGAAGAAAATTGGTAAAAATAATATTGTTAGTGAAACATTAGTTCAGTATTCCATTAGAAAAATAGTAATTATAATAATAATTATTATATAGAAAAATAGCAATTATAATAATAATTATTATATTAATAATAATTAATCGTGGTGTGGAAATAAGTATTGGGTTACAATATAGCACTTAACATAATATTCGATTAAGATTTGTGATATAGTATTGAATATAGAATTTATAATTAAAACTTAACATAATGTATTTGTGATGACGTTATAAATCAGTTAACATAGTCTATGGATGTAAATGAAAATGTAATGGGGGATTGTGTGTATTAATGTATAATTTCGCAATAGGAGGAATTTGAAGATGCGGGGAATTATAGTAGAAGGAGGAAG